CGTTCCCGTCACTCGTGAAAGATCGATGGGAAATCCGGCAGATTAATTTGAAAAGTAACGAAGAGCTTTTTAAAAAAATGAATTTAAAGAGGACGATTTTGTTTTTCAGAATGAGCTCTTTAAATTATAGGATAATTGAAATTTTCCATCCTAGCATCGAAGGTTACAATGTTTTAACACTTACATGTTCCATTAACTATATCACAAGATAATTATTAAAACTATATATCTTTATCAAAATATTAAAACTATACATCTTTATCAAAATCTGCACAAATTTCGAATATGCTTACCTGATAATCGCTGACAAAGCCAGATTTTCTACTTTTCTGCATTTTTTTGCACGTTTTTCTCCTATTTCTAGCACAGTTCCGTTCATCGTTGTCTTTTCGCTTTTTTATCACGTTTTTGATTTCTTTGAAGCCCCTAAAAATATACATTCTGTATCATAATATTGAATTAAAACAGCACTGTTTTACATTTTTCTTTCTTTAACTGCACGTTTGTACCTTTTTGCACACACACATTTTTCTTTTTAATATATTTCTTTTAAGTTTGTCTCATCTTACGTGCAGAAAGTCTAACGTGATGCAGTTAAAGGAAGGAAAGATGATTTTCATATCGTTACTGCCAAGTTAAACAGCAGTGACCGCGATGATTACGCTTACTTGCTCCTTTATTTTTATCGCATATGTGATAAGGCCGATATTTAAAATATAAATTTGATTGCGTACGAATGTGTAAATGTGTATATGTGAATTGCACGTATTTGAAGATTGCATGCATGTAATAATAATATTAATAATAATGCTAGGAAAAAAATGTGACAAATTTTAAATAAACTTTATTCAAATGAGAAAGAGGCTGTCCTTATTTACTACCAATCTGATTAATTGCAAAATTAGATTGATGCAATAATATTAGGTTAATTAGTATCACAAATTCAGGGTTGTTGTATAATAATAATATAATAGTTTACATAGTTCACATGCTTACATGAAAAAAGTTAATTTAAACTTCATATAGACAATATGCAAACAATTCGTATAAACATAATTTTGAAATCTACGATATATAATCCTGCAGTCAGGCTAGGTATACCGTAAAAGAAAAATAAACTAATGAAAATAGCAAAATGATGAAATAATATATATATGATTTAATTAAATATATATACATATATAAAACAATTATTTAATAAACATTTTACTAGTAAAAACTAATTCCGTTCGGCAGAAATACAAAGATTTCATTAAGAGTAAAGATTAAACCCACTTACATTAGCGAAGGGCGCGGGGACTCGAATCTTGCTTACAATTAGTAGAGACTCAAACCCTGCTTAGCGGAGACTCAAACTCTAGTGGAGACTCGAACCTTTCACTGGTTAGCAGAAATTCAAACTTTGCTTAGCGGGAAAAATCAAATTTTATTTAATGGAAACTTGATGTTTATACTTCACTCGTCGTATATCTTAGATCAGACATTAAACAAATAAAATATATCTTATAAAAATAGTAGCTGCAATAGCAATTAAAAAATATTTTACAAATACTAAATATATAATAAGAGAAATATTATATATTATTATAGAAAAAAAATTCTCTAGTGAAGTCTCTAAATTCTGTCGTGAGACATCTGTGAGTAAGTGCCCGAATTCAAGCAACTGTTATCATCTTGTATTTTGTATCGTCCGTCAAAGCAATCGTCGAAGCATATCTCCGTCATCGAATCTGGTCTCGGTGATCTTGGTGATTTATATGGCAATAATTCGCTGATTGATGAAGCTATCCGTGGCGTCGGCGCGTTGTTTGCTACGTGCATACGTGAGTGTTTGACGATCGTCCGTCCGGTATTTTACAGAAAAATTTCGGAGGCCAGATTTTTATTCCACGTAACGCGCGTTGCATCACGTAAGATGCATTGCCACTTAACCAATCTTAACTAACATAAGTTATCATAAGTAGGTCAAAAGTACAACTACAATTTCTATATTAATGACGCAAGAAACGAAACAAAAAGTTGTGTATTATTATATATACATATTTAATAAAAATTTAATATGAAATTTTTATTTAAAATTTGAATTCTACAACACGTGCTTCACATACAATATGTTTTTTCATTAGCACGATGCAGCAAGAAAAATGTTTTATCGCAAATAATAGAAAGCATCTTAACAAAAATTATTCAAAAATACTGAAATAAAACACTCTTTTTGCCAAAGAAATTATATATAAAATTATATTATATTTCTTTTCCATTTTTAAATAGAATTGGTTTTTTTTTCTATCAATTCACAAAAAAACTCAAATTTATTGAAGAGATTAAAATTAAAATTCAAAATGTAAAATATTACGCATGTATACATTAATTTAGGATTAATTTTAAATATTTTGCATCAAGTCCACAGTATCCAAGCATCGTGTCGACATGATCAACTCTGCTCTAAAGGCTGAGGTGGTGTTGTCAGAGAGCAATCGTAAAGCTTGTATCAAAAGATTCAGATCGATGCAATTTCCAAAGGTGCGTGATAAGGATATTCCAGAAGCTGCCATTTTGATCCCATTATGCTCTTACAAGGGAGAACTTGGTCTCTTATATACATTGCGATCCATTAAACTCAGATCTGGTGGAGGACAGGTCAATATATATAATTTATTTTTGATATTTATACAAGTACAAAAATTGTAAAAAAACATATTTTTTAAAATTACAAACTTACAAATAAATGTATCTTTTTTATAATTAAAAGAAAATATATATTTATATCGTAACATGATCACTTTACAAAACTCGAGTTTCTCAAGAAAATACTTTACAGGCATCCTTCCCAGGTGGTATGCATGACAAGAGCGATGCCGACCTGCAGGAAACTGCTCTGCGAGAGACATGGGAGGAATTGAAGATCCCCAAGGAGAAGATAGACGTGTGGACCACAGGGAATCTTATCGGCAAGACAAATGTCAATGTGATGCCTGTGCTGGCTTACATTGGCGAAGTGGTGCCGGAGCAATTGGAGATCAATCATGACGAAGTGGATGAAGCATTTGTGATCAGCTTGCAAAAGTTGTGCGATCCCGAGCTATGTAGTTTCACATATTTTCGTATGTTAAATTACAAACTTACAAATAAATGTATCTTTTTTATAATTAAAAGAAAATATATATTTATATCGTAACATGATCACTTTACAAAACTCGAGTTTCTCAAGAAAATACTTTACAGGCATCCTTCCCAGGTGGTATGCATGACAAGAGCGATGCCGACCTGCAGGAAACTGCTCTGCGAGAGACATGGGAGGAATTGAAGATCCCCAAGGAGAAGATAGACGTGTGGACCACAGGGAATCTTATCGGCAAGACAAATGTCAATGTGATGCCTGTGCTGGCTTACATTGGCGAAGTGGTGCCGGAGCAATTGGAGATCAATCATGACGAAGTGGATGAAGCATTTGTGATCAGCTTGCAAAAGTTGTGCGATCCCGAGCTATGTAGTTTCACATATTTTCGTATGTTCAATATCACCTTGCCGAATTATTTGGGCGGTAAATACCGTATCTGGGGATTTACTGGTGCCATTACTCATTTCGTGCTCGAGTGTTTAGTACCAGAGGTCTATAAAAACAAAATCCTTAACGTGCAGCCTCTCAGAAAAGATATGCGTGGAGAGATGACGGAAACCAAAAGGACTTTTGAACAAGATGCGACACGATCAAAACTATGAAGAAAACTTGGATGTGTTCATATTGCGACGCTATAAATTTCTATGTGTGTAAACAAAATTATTAACGACAATTAAATTAAGATATTTTTTTATAACATTGCGCAAAAGTTAATCTCTCATTAGAGTTATGCCAATTTTAAATTCTTATGTTTAAATCTTCGGACTAACAAAATTTGGTATAACAAAACTTCGATACTTTGGTTGTTGGCATAACTTCAATTTCGTCGTTATCGAACGGAATGTTGCAAATTGTATAAAACTTTTTGCAGCATATATATATGTATATAT